GCTTCCCGACTCGTCAAAATTGCGGTGCGGTGAAAACGACTGGGTGAAGAGTAGCAGAAGGCTGAAATATCAGCTCATAATTCAAGAATATTGCAATGGATTGATCCAGGGTTAGTTTTGGAGTTGACTACACAATGACGATTGACTTGAGATCGAGTAATCGGGGGGGGGGTAATGACCACGGAAAAATGGTAAACGCACTTATCTCAGTGGTTGATCAGTCTGTACCGAATCAGCAAGCATATATATAGAACTTGATAATATTCTCTAATTTCGTTGGGGATCGACCACATCGCCTGAGGATTCTCTCACTGACCACAATCGGAGGGTCCATCATCAGCAACAACATCCAAGCACTTTGCTAGATCCATTTTCTCAGTGTTGCCAAGTGAGCGCGAGGTCGTCGTTCGATACCAAGCTCCGTTCTAGAGTACGAGGTCGAGGATGCTGCAAGTGCACATTCTTCATTCTCGAGCGGTCTAAAAGAGCGCCGAGACATCTTTGCAGCTTGCTTGCTGGAGAATCGCAGGAGTTTTGACGTCGTGGATTCCAAGTGTGGGAGCAGTTTGACACACTCGAGGGTGGAGATTGTGTAATTGTGTACAGATGCAGTATCCCCGGAGTCATGTCGTGGTGCATTGCTTCACAGTAGCACAGCATTGACAACTTCTTTTGGGTGTGAGGCCTCACTGACTGTCATACTGTAATCCATACAGAAAGGGGGATAAAACACCGTTGCTTAGTAACATCATGGTATCTCAAATGTGGTCATGATCACGATAATGTTAATCGCTGCCTAGTTATAGTACCTGTTCTGTAGTGTTGGACTCATCAGTTGACCCCGACTTCTGGAGTGTCGCGTTAACTAGTTTTCCTTGGATCTCCCGGTCTCTTTAAAACCCTCTCTCTCCAGATTTGTCGGAGACATTGTTCCTTTGGGACGCCCACCCAGCTTCGATTGCTTACACCTCGCACGCCATAGAAGTGATCCTCTTTTCTATTTGGCTTAGACCCTACTGGTAGATTCATCTTAGCAGCCGCAGACAACAATCACGTATCATCTCCGTTCACTGCATTAGTGTTCCACTCAGCTCCGAAAGATGACATTCAACTGCACATCATAACTCTCGGAAGAGCCAGCATCCTGTAATGACAACTACACAAGTAGTTCTTTCTGAAGCTCCCCGACTCATTCAGATTGCAGTGCGGTGATAAGGGCTAGGTGAAGAATAGCAGAAGGCTGAAATATTAGCTCATAATTCAAGAATATTCCAGTGGACTGATCCAGGGTTAGTTTTGGAGTTGACTACACAATGACGATTAACTTGAGATCGAGTAATCGATGGGATAATGACCACGGAAAAATGATAAACGCACTTACCTTAGTGGTTGATCAATTTGTACCGAATCAGCAAGCATATGTATAGAACTCGATAATATTCTCTAATTTCATTGGGGATCGACCACATCGCTTGAGGATTCTCTCATTGACCACAATCGGAGAGACCATCATCATCGACAACATCCAGGCACTTTGCTAGATCCATTTTTCCAGTGTTGTCAAGTGAGCGCGAGGTTGTCGTTCGATACCAAGCTCCGTTCTAGAGCACGAGGTCGAGGATCCTACAAGTGCACATTCTTTATGCTCGAGCGGTCTAAAAGAGCGCCGAGACATCTTTGCAGCTTCCTTTTTGGAGAATCGCAGGAGTTTTGACGTCGTGGGTTCCAAGTCTGGGTGCAGTTTGACACACTCGGGTGTGAAGAGTGTGCAATTGTATACAGATGCAGTATCCGTGGAGTCCTGTCATGGTGCATTGCTTCACAGTAGCACAGCTTTGACAACCTCTTTTGGGTGTGAGGCCTCACTGACTGTCATACTGTAATCCATTACAGAAGAGGGATATAACACCAGTGCTTAGTAACATCGTGGTGTCTCAAATGTGGTCATGATCACGATAATGTTAATCGCTGCCTAGTTATAGTACCTGTTCTGTAGTGTTGGACTCATCAGTTGACCCCGACTTCTGGAGTGTCGCGTTAACTAGTTTTCCTTGGATCTCCCGGTCTCTTTAAAACCCTCTCTCTCCAGATTTGTCGGAGACATTCTTCTTTTGGAACGCCCACCCAGCTTCGATTGCTTACACCTCGCACGCCATAGAAGTGATCCTCTTTTCTATTTGGCTTAGACCCTACTGGTAGGTTCATCTTAGCAGCCGCAGACAACAATCACGTATCATCTCCGTTCACTGCATTAGTGTTCCACTCAGCTCCGAAAGATGACATTCAACTGCACATCATAACTCTCGGAAGAGCCAGCATCCTGTAATGACAACTACACAAGTAGTTCTTTCTGAAGCTCCCCGACTCATTCAGATTGCAGTGCGGTGATAAGGGCTAGGTGAAGAATAGCAGAAGGCTGAAATATTAGCTCATAATTCAAGAATATTCCAGTGGACTGATCCAGGGTTAGTTTTGGAGTTGACTACACAATGACGATTAACTTGAGATCGAGTAATCGATGGGGTAATGACCACGGAAAAATGATAAACGCACTTACCTCAGTGGTTGATCAATCTGTACCGAATCAGCAAGCATATGTATAGAACTCGATAATCTTCTCTAATTTCGTTGGAGATCGACCACATCGCTTTAGGATTCTCTCATTGACCACAATCGGAGGGACCATCATCATCGACAACATCCAGGCACTTTGCTAGATCCATTTTTCTAGTGTTGTCAAGTGAGCGCGAGGTTGTCGTTCGATACCAAGCTCCGTTCTAGAGCACTAGGTCGAGGATCCTGCAAGTGCACATTCTTTATGCTCGAGCGGTCTAAAAGAGCGCCAAGACATCTTTGCAGCTTCCTTGTTGGAGAATCGCAGGAGTTTTGACGTCGTGGGTTCCAAGTCTGGGTGCAGTTTGATACACTCGGGTGTGGAGAGTGTGCAATTGTATACAGATGCAGTATCCGTGGAGTCCTGTCATGGTGCATTGCTTCACAGTAGTACAGCTTTGACAACCTCTTTTGGGTGTGAGGCCTCACTGACTGTCATACTGTAATCCATTACAGAAGGGGGGTAAAACACCGGTGCTTAGTAACATCGTGGTGTCTCAAATGTGGTCATGATCACGATAATGTTAATCGCTGCCTAGTTATAGTACCTGTTCTGTAGTGTTGGACTCATCAGTTGACCCCGACTTCTGGAGTATCGCGTTATCTAGTTTTCCTTGGATCTCCCGGTCTCTTTAAAACCCTCTCTCTCCAGATTTGTCGGAGACATTCTTCCTTTGGAATGCCCACCCAGCTTCGATTACTTACACCTCGCACGCTTAAGAAGTGATCTTCTTTTCTATTTGGATTAGACCCTATTGGTAGGTTCATCTTAGTAGCCGCAGACAACAGTCACGTATCACCTCCGTTCACTACATTAGTGTTCCACTCAGCTCCGAAAGATGACATTGAACTGCACATCATTATTCTCGAAAGAGCCAGCATCCTGTAATGACAGCTGCACAAGTGGTTCTTTCTGAAGCTCCCCGACTCGTCCAGATTGCGGTGCGATGAAAAGGGCTGGGTGAAGAGTAGCAGAAGGCTGAAATATCAGCTCATAATTCAAGAATATTGGAGTGGATTGATCCAGGGTTAGTTTTGGAGTTGACTACACAATGACGATTGACTTGAGATCGAGTAATCGGGGGAGTAACGACCACAGAAAAATGGTAAACGCACTTACCTCAGTGGTTGATCAGTTTGTACCGAATCAGCAAGCATTTGTATAGAACTTGATAATATTCTCTATTTTTGTCGGGGATCGACCACATCGCCTGAGGATTCTCTCACTGACCACAATCGGAGAGACCATCATCATCGACAACATCCAGGCACTTTGCTAGATCCATTTTTCCAGTGTTGCCAAGTGAGCGCGAGGTTGTCGTTCGATACCAAGCTCTGTTCTAGAGCACGAGGTCGAGGATCCTGCAAGTGCACATTCTTCATGCTCGAGCGGTCTAAAAGAGCACCGAGACATCTTTGGAGCTTGCTTGCAGGAGAATCGCAAGAGTTTTGACGTCGTGGGTTCCGAGTCTGGGTGCAGTTTGACACACTCGGGTGTGGAAAGTGTGCAATTGTGTGGAGATGCAGTATCTCCGGAGTCCTGTCGTGGTGCATTGCTTCACAATAGCACAGCTTTGATAACCTCTTTTGGGTGTCAGGCCTCACTGACTGTCATACTGTAATCCATTACAAAAGGGAGATAAAACACAGGTGCTTAGTAACATCGTGGTGTCTCAAATGTGGTCATGATCACGATAATGTTAATCGCTGCCTAGTTATAGTACCTGTTCTGTAGTGTTGGACTCATCAGTTGACCCCGACTTCTGGAGTGTCGCGTTATCTAGTTTTCCTTGGATCTCCCGGTCTCTTTAAAACCCTCTCTCTCCAGATTTGTCGGAGACATTCTTCCTCTGGGACGCCCACCCAGCTTCGATTGCTTACACCTCACATGCCATAGAAGTGATCCTCTTTTCTATTTGGCTTAGACCCTACTGGTAGGTTCATCTTAGCAGCCGCAGACAACAGTCACGTATCATCTCCGTTCACTGCATTAGTGTTCCACTCAGCTCCGAAAGATGACATTGAACTGCACATCATAACTCTCGGAAGAGCCAGCATCCTGTAATGACAACTGCACAAGTGGTTCTTTCTGAACCTCTCCGACTCGTTCAGATTGCGGTGCGGTGATAAGGGCTGGGTGGAGAGTAACAGAAGGCTGAAATATCAGCTCATAATTCAAGAATATTGCAGTGGATTGATCCAGGGTTAGTTTTGGAGTTGACTACACAATGACGATTGACTTGAGATCGAGTAATCGGGGGGTAACTACCACGGAAAAATGGTAAACGCACTTACCTCAGTGGTTGATCAGTCTGTAACGAATCAGCAAGCATATGTATAGAACAAGAAAATATTCTCTAATTTCTTGTTGGAGTTCATTTGCAAACCTCAAAAATAAACTTTTCCATTACTTAGAAGAGAGGGTTCACGGTGCATGCACTTTCTGCAACATAGTTGCAGATTCTAGTGTGAAACTAGGAGTAGTTCTGACGCTCTTCCTGTGCGTTTCTCGTGCAGGGGAAAATCATCTGTACACCATGCTTGAAACGTCGATTGGCCGACTTTTGAACTGTTCTTATTCTCATGGCGCTCTGCTATTGCAATCCATGTCTCCTCAGCTGATGGGCTCTGCAGAACAGCAAGCCCTGGTGCAGTCATTCGTGCGACTCAACTCCGGGTGTATGTTGGAACATTCATCACAGCAAGGAAATGGTAATCCAAACACTTTCTTCAAGTCTACAAATAGCTCCAGCCTCGTGAACTCCACCAGCGAAATGACGTCTCCAGATGTAGACTATGTTGGTGCGCTGGAGAACAATCTTCACATGAATTGCATCTCCTCTCTGGGCGGCGGAAACAATGTCCTCATCCCTGGCCTGACCAGCATGCTTGATCGCAATAAGAACAGGGACGGAACTTTCATGGCCGCTCACCGATACTACAAGAGCTTCTATCCCATGGAGAGCCCCGGTGGACCACTATCGTCTGGACTGCTTCCTTGCGGTAAGAGTGAGAATTCTCTGAACAAGGGTGAAGCTCGCGTAATTGCAATAGCTGATCTCCAGCGCCTCTTGGAAGGCGATGACGAGGATTGGATGGTACAGGAGGAGATAAAGATGCATGAATCCTCGAAGCTAGTGAAACCACAACAACAATCTGAGAAACACGCAGTCTTCCAAGACAGTTTTGGAGGATGCATCGAAGCCTCCTCATCAGCAGGCTTCACTGTGACATGTTTCGACCGGGTTACAATTCCTTCTGCGACACATCCACCAACTCCACCATTTCGCCAGAGAAAGGGTAGTGTCGGTGGATCTCCAGCTGTAGACCTGGACAACTTTGCTAGAATGCAAGCCATCTTGTTCCGACAAGCCTCCCAGCTTATACCTACCCTGGAGGACATCGCCAGCTCCAGACCCAAGAGGAGAAATGTTAGGATCTCCATAGACACCCAGAGCGTAGCCGCTCGTCACCGCCGCGAGCGTATCAGTGATCGCATTCGCGTTCTTCAGCGACTCGTTCCGGGCGGCACCAAGATGGACACGGCGTCCATGCTCGATGAAGCCATCCACTACATCAAATTTCTGAAGCAGCAGCTTCAGGTCTACACTGATGCTCGAATCATATCTTTATCAGTTATTGGAAAATCCTGTTTGAGGTTCAGCATAACTTCCTGACCCTTATATGAAAATCAAATGTGTCAAAGGTTCCTGAATGTGGTTATCAGCTTCTTGCTCATGTTTTGCAGACATTGGAGCAGCTTGGGATCGATGGGTGTGACCCAGGGGATGTTGCGCTGCGAGGCGGTGAAGCTCTACAGCTCAGCAGCTCAGTGCGTCCGGCGTTCCACATGAACTACACATCAGCGTTTCAATCATGGCCAGCTTCAGTTACCGATCTCGGAAATCGAAGCAAAACATGTCCTCAAGACTAGGTCACTTTCAACTGAACATTTCCGGATGCGAAAATGTAAGAAAAGTAACAATTGTTCCCAGTCTAAATTCAGCTCTCCTAATTCCAGATTATGAGTTCGTTCAGAGCGGCATTCAATTGAGGTGATGTCACTAAAGCCATACTGTGAACACGACGTCGACAACAAATTGTAGCTCGGCTTCCTGCATACCTTAGCACTGTCGGCACGAGACCTGAGGACTTTGGCAGCAACTTTTGTCAAAAAGCAAACCTGTTCCATACAAAACCTTGTTGCTTCCCTAGCTACCTGCAAAACTTCAAACCATTTCCCTAGGCCCTTGTATTGTAATGACGTCGCGAGTATAAAACTGAAAACTCCATTAGCCGATTCAAGTTTGGAGGAAGCGAGGAAGTGAGAAATCTGGCAGTAACTGGAACATTCATTGAATAATTAAACGAAGGTTCCAGAACGATCGTGTGCATAATCGGCGAATCTCAGAGCTCAGATTCCTGCATACTATTAACGGCTTGGACCTGACGACTGTCTCAGTCATCAAGAAATCTTGAGTTTTGATTCCCAGAGCTTGCCTCAACTGATGTTCTTGCCCTGATATTCGTACTAGTGTGGACCCGCTAGGTTTTATGAGAGCAGAGCAAAATCAATATATATATATATATATATATAATTATGTTGTGAGTAAGTTAAAAGTCCAAAATTGGAACAATTCTATACAATAGCACCATAAAAATTTCAAAAGATAGAAACTCCGTGGGAAGCCTACATACTCATATTTCCTGATACATCAACTTGTAAAATATCACGAAATTGTATGAAAACTTCAAAAAAAGTATCCAACTGATTTTCAACAGTAAAATTAACATAATATTTTCAACATGAACTGAATTTTTTTGTACTTCTATCATAATTTATAGTTATTGAAACACTAATATTAAATAAATACATTTAATTATAAAAAAACATCACCAAATTTTCTTCTACTTCAAAGATCCTTCATGATGTATAATAACACACATTACAGTAATACATTATAGTGCAAATAATGCAATAATAAATCACACAAATGTATTCTTTTAGTACCACCGAGAATAATACATACCAGGTAGTGCCCCAATAGAAGGACGTTCAATGAAGTTGTTTGCTAGAATTAACGGACAGATCATTAGTTTTAGAGCATTATATCTATCTATATATATATATATATGCATGATTGTTTACAAATAATTTGCTAGATTTTTTAAAAAATTGAGTATTAAATATATAAACATTCCATTAAATTTATTTTTAAAAATAGTCTTGACTCAGACTTTTTTTAATAAAAAATTATCATGATGGTTTTAATATTTTTTTATTATTTTAAATTTCAAATAAATCTATTCTTTCTTAATATATAAGACCTTTAAAAAATTATCAATTTAGTTCTATGTGTATATAGAACTACTATAAGTATATAGTAATGATAAGCCGTTAATTATCGTTCATACTATATAATCGTTCATACTATATACTTGTGAACGATTTTAGATATATAATAAATATATTTTATTATAATAAATTTAAAATTCAATTCAATAAAATAAAAAATCTAATTTATGCTCATATTAAAATTTTATTTGTATAAAAAATTAAAAAACATAGCATCAAAGAAAAATATGTTAAAATGATATTCCTGAGCTCATTGATTGGTTGAATGTCTCATAATGGTTGTGAATTATTCCATCTAATTTTAAGGAAAGATCAAATAGCACTTAATGTAAAAAGACTACAATAGAAATGTAGCAAGAAATCACCTCTATTGCTTAAATTTTTCTTAAACTTTTTTATGTAAAACTGCAATAAAAGATTATGAAAAAATTTATGAAAACCATTAACTAAATTTAAAATATTTTATTTTTTAAAATAAAAAAATATTAAAAAATTAAATACTAATTCAAAACACAAAATATTTTTCTTTTGAAATTTTGGTGTAAAACAGAGATCCAAAAATTATTTAGTCCTGAAAGCTTGCAAATAACCATGTTTTTAAATTTTAAATTTTTTTATTTTTAAATATCATAATCCTATATTCAAAAATCAATAACCTTGCAAGCATAAATTTGTGGAAGTTTATTTAATTATAAAACCATATTAAATTTTACAATGTCACATGTAGTTCTTGAAGCCTTAAGTTGGCAATGAAAAAAATAGTATTTTTTTTTTTTTTTTTTTTTTTTTTTTTTCATTTTAATTTAGTAGATATTATCTAGAACAGTGATACAAACATGCAACTACTGATCACAAAAATAAATAATGAACATACAAATAGCTTCTTTTACAAATACTAAATGTTTAGAGGAACATGGTTGTATTAAAAACTACAAAATAATCCAAATTCTATATATATATATATATATATATATATATATTCAAATAGAATGAAATTAAATAGAATTTAAATCATATAAATTTTTAAAAGTACAAAAATAACTAAATAATCATTTTATAAAACCATATCATTATAAATATTTAAATATATTTGAATAGAAAACTTGATAAATGCCAAATGTTATTTTCTAGATGAACTAATTTAATATACACTCTTATAGAAATATGCTTAAAAATAATATTTTTTTCCAATTTTTTTTTCATAAACAACTGTTACAAATAGTAACTTTAAATAAATTTCTATGTATTATTTTTAGTATAATTGAAGATCTTACTCGATATTATAGTTTCAAATTCAATTATATAAGTACTTTTTAAATTAAATAAATAATTCTTGAATAATTATATATAAACACACACACACACACACACACATATATATATATATATATATATATATTCACATTTTTTATTATAAAATATTTTTATTTTACATAAAAAATTTAAAATAATAATAATAAATAAATTATAATTTAAAATAATTTAATATTACACTATTGAAAGGATGTTTTTAAAATATAATATACTCATATATATATTAAAATAAAAATAACTTAGTTAAAAAGAATTCATCAGAAAAATAGCAAGAATCTCTCAAATCTTGCTTATATAAATGTTAAGATTTATTTTTCTTTTTCTTTTATTATATACTAGAACCACTATAAAATAAAATAAAAAATAAATCAACTGAGATGTAATTTTTTTAAAAAAAATGTAAATATTATTGATTGACAATATTTAGATAATTTTAGTATTTTTTAAAATCTTTAAACGATGATGCAAGTAAATATTATAGAAAAAAAAATGTAAAATGGTAAATTTAAAATTATATGCCAAAAACATCAAGATAATATATTTAAATTTATACTGTAATTTTTAAAATATTATAAAATTTTATATATAATATAATCAATAAATATTAAAACATCATTACTATTGTGAATTGATAATATTTTATTATAATTTTTTAATTAGCTAAATTTAAGTTTCATAGTTTAAAAAATAATTTAAATTGTAGTACTCGAAGTGCTAAGATAATGATAATAGTTTAATAAAATTAGAAAGAAATAAAAAAAACATAGATTATAAATTTTTATTATCTTTAATAGTACATATATTTCTAATTGGTAATTAAAATTAATTAAATAGTCAATAATAATATATTAAAAATTGTAAACAAGAAATATGTATGGACACCATAGTTATCCAAATTTCTACATATTAAATAATACTTTATAAATAAAATTTAGCTTAGCTGATACGAATAAGTCTTTTACAAAATAAAATATGGCCAATAAGACTTATTTCAAGTAATAAGATGTGATACTACAATATCAAATCCAATTAATATCATAATAAATAATTATATTTTATTAAGAAATAGTACTTAATAATATATTTTAATCAATTGTGCTTCTAAAACATGTAGAAAATATTTTGACTATACTTTTAAAAATATTTCTTAATAAATATCAATGAAATACGTATTAATTTTAGAAAAAAAATATAATTATTAATCTTTACATAGTTCTAATTATATGCATATCTTAAATATTGAAGCCTAATATTTCTATTAATTTCTTTAAGTATTTAACAATTGCATTATTTTTTGAAGAATATTAAATAAATTCACCTTTACTCTTATCATTGTGTTCCATGTTATATATATCTCACCAATCTAAAGAACACCATCCAAGGCTTAGTGTCTCCCAAATAGATTCTATAGTTAGCATTGCAATTTTTTATTTTACTTGGATTCATTAAAAATTCCTCTGTTTTTATTACATAATTTAATTAATACTATCAATTAGCTTATTTTAGATTGGTTGCAAGATCTTACTTCACATTATAGTTTCAAATTCATCCTACAAAATTTTATAACATAATTATAATTAACAATGACTTATTTTTTACTTTTCTAAAAATAGTATTTTATTACTCTATTCAATATATTTATTATTAAAATTAAAGATATGTATAGGATTTAAGATTTTTTTATTAAATTATCTTTATAAATAAATTAAAAATTTAATAATACTATACATACATACATATACATACATATATATATATATATATATATATATAATATAAGATTTTAACTTATTTATACAACTCCATTACTTTTAAGCACCCTGTTGTAATTCTTCATAAGATGTGAGTGTATATATATATATATATATATAGTACTTTAAAATAAAAAAATCAAAATATTTATAAGATAGTTTTATGTAATAAATAATGATTTTTAATATTTAATTTGTACTATAAGATCTTTACAAAATACTACATGTTATTTAGGGTTCTTACCATCTTTAAATTATAACGTGATTATTTTAATGTCTTTTGACATAATTTCTAAATTTTAAAACTATTTAATTATTAATAAGTGGATATATTTTCATCATGAAAGAAACACATGTTGAAATAATTATTTTACTTGGTTGAATTGATTATTTTTAGGTATTTATAGAGTAGAAGTAATTGCTTTTTAAAGATA